AAAGTACTTTTCTATATATATATATATATATATATATATATATATAAGTGTTGTGGATGGGCCTCATGACAAAAGCACAAGTTTTTATTTAATAAAACTCATGACAAAAGCACAAGTTTTTATTTCATAAAACTCAGCCGCAATGGGCTATATATACATTGAGCACATATACTATGCTCCTCCAAGATTAAATTGTACATTTACTCCCTCAGTCAAAAGAACTGTGTGGAAAACGTTTTTGAGTTTGAAATTTTCGTAACCACCTGAGAATCACTAATTATTTTTAAATGAAAATTTTGAATATTGAGTACTCTAACACTTAGATGTTCCCCTTAAAAAAAGTTCGATGGTTTGTATTTAATCTTGAGACTATTTTTCAAGTGCATAAAGAGTGCAATTTGGAATTTGCTTTTATTGATATCCAAAATTTGGGGTCATAAAGTTATGGACGGGATATTATGAGTCCGTTGATTCACATGTACATAACTGGGCTCCCTCTAAAATCGGACTTAAAGAGAGATTTTATATCTAAATTTTTTTTAGAGGCTCATGATCTAAGGCATGATTCTTGAATATAAAAAAAAAAAAAATATTTATATTATTAAAAATACTTTTTAAATATATCTTTTTTTACACCATTCATTTAGGTGCCTTCTTTTTCCAATATCCATCTTAAGATGGATGTTGGACTTACGTACAACTTTTTTCTAAGTTATTTCTAGGACGGTTTTTACCTAGACTGTATAAAACTTATATATTTCTCAGCTATCCAATAGTCCATTCTAAACGGACGGCTGAAACAACTGTAATCACAATGTCAACCTATACACTATTTTATTTTTTATTTTTTCTACAAAATATTTTGACACTAAAGTTTGGGCATCCACTCCTCTCTTAAACTCACACATGTAAACAATACAAAATTGAAGTTTACTCGTCCAAAATTATCACAAGCTAACTTACTATAATATTATACATTGAAATTAAAATTATTGATTTATATTTGACAATCATTTTATTATACAAATAAAAATAAATTTGAAATTTATCTTATAATCTCATCTAACTTAAAAATCTAATTTACAACTATAACAAATAATAATAATTATATAATTTATAATATAGATATATTAATAAATAATATATAAGTTTTGGTTATCAATCTAATTAGCATAATTATTAATTAAAATATCATACTAAACATGATTCGAAAAACAAGATGGCTCTTGCATCTATATTTTGAATTACTTGTATATTTAAACATCATTAGTTTAAAAATACTTTAAATTTCTAGTATATTTTTTAAGAAAATTGTTTCATGCAGCCACATGACATATGCGGTCTAAAAAGTGTAAAACATCCATCTTAAATATGGATGCAAGTAGACGTTCCACCTAAAAACAATGGAAACTAACAGTCCAAATGTTTTCTTACTAGAATTATTATTTCCAGTTTTTAAAATTTACTTATTTTGCATATTCATGATCTCCATGTTAGATATTACATGTCTTTAAAAATTAAGTCCAAAAATCCACTTCAAAAATAGATTTATTAATAGGCCCACATTTCTACATATGCGGGGTTGCCCGCATAGAAACCGGGTCCTATTTTTTAGGCAATATTTGGGTTGCTAGTATACTTTATAAAACAAACAGTACTCTTGCATATATATTTTTCTGCTCAAAACATATTTTTCCTAAATTAGTCTTCTATTTGAGCGAGCTCTTGCATATATATTTGAGTTGAACGCGATGCTCAATCCCTTTTCGAGTGCCGCATCATTTTGCACGAAGATTTCATAACGCATGAGGAGTTAATAAATTTGCAGGAGGAGTAAATAATGGGAGGACTTAATAAGTTTGCACGAAGAGTTAACAAATTTGGAAGTGTTCCAGTTCGAACGTTTTAGGGAGAATTCAGTTCTATAAAAGCTTGAGGCCCCATGTTTTTAATGACCATTGGTTGAGTAGGATGCGTGGCCATAATAACTTTGTTTATTGAGATGGGCAGATGCCTTCTATTTTGAAAAAAAATGACAAAAGTACCCTGGAAAGAAAATTAAAAAAAAGTGTTACTATTTTCTCATGAAACTCGACCACACAAGCATGCCTTCTATTTTGAAAAAAATTACAAAAGTACCCTTGAAAAAAATTAAAAAAAACGTGTTACTATTTTCTCATGAAATTCGACCACACATTCAGTGTGTTGAGTTATGACATCAACACACCGTGTCAGCACAGGAAAAAGGAGCATAACTCAACACACCGAGTCAGCACAGGAAACACGAGTTATGACATCAACACACGGAGTCAGCACAGGAATAACGACGAATCCCATTGAGACGTGTCTCACGAGCATTGCTGAGTGTATTGGTGAATTGTCTTGGCCCGTTTAAGAAGAATAATAAAGGCCAAACTTGGCACCCAACCAGTAGTACCAGACTCATCCAAATTTTCAATCATTATTTCTGCCCACCGAGTCTTACGGACAAGGCGATAGAAGAATCATTTGTCTTGCAATGCTTAGAGATGCACTTATTACCTACCATTAAGCAGTTAACCAATACATCTCGACATTTTAGCAAATTGTCAAGTCCCTCTTGTTAATAAGAAATCATTGTTTTCTAAGTAATTTATCCAAATAAACTTGATTATAATTCACAAAAGTTGGTTCCAGTAATCATTTTTCTAACAGAAATACAATATTAACCTCCTTAATTTCTTGTTAATTTTGTATGGCTGCTTTATTAGCTAGATCCAGGTGCACTAGTGACTTTGAAAATTGTAATAAATTCATGTTACAAATTTATTTTATTTTTTTTTAATAGAAAAAATCAGGTTACAAATTAGTGGGCTGATCATAACCATGTTGAAAAAGAAAATGTATTCTTCTGCAAATCACTAGGTTGACCGTACACAAGTTACTCTCTCTGACCATAAATACAAATGACTATTTTAGCATGCAACTCGCATGTCTTTCTCATGTCATGGATACAACATAAATGGCAGACAAGTTGGGATGTCTAGTCCAATGTCCTTGTCGAAACAAGGTGAGGTTCATATAGAGTCCCTTGGAGATTGCATACCCTCGGTGGGCAGCCATCACAACTAACTTTCTTCAATTTGCAATATGTGGAGTAGCATGTATCGTGAAGCGAACAAGGTTGCCAATGCTTTAGTCAAACATGTCATACTTTCTTCAGAAGTTGCCATTTGGCGAGCTCGTCACCCCAATTTTATGACTTTATTATTTCCATATGGTGTTGCTATAAAATGTTGTAATGTAATTAATAAAGCAGGTAGGGAGCCTATTCCCCCACTGATTCATCTGATAAAAATAAATAAATAAATAAATAATAAATAATAAAAATAATAAAAGTACGAAAGGAGAGACATGCTCTATGAAAATGTAAATGCAATAAGTTGATTCCGGATATCCTATGGTACAAAAGGGCAGTAGGGATTCTATACTTAGAGTCCAACAATAACTATAACATGGGAAAAAGGCTGGGTCGTGGAAGTATTACTCTACACCTTAATCACCACGTTCTGGCTTCCATTCCCACCATAAATATCACCTCTATAATATTTTCAAAAAGCTAACTTCTAACCTACTTATTAAAAAACAAGTAGGGACTGTCTTTCCAGACCATAAATATCACCTCACTAATATTTTCAAAAAGCTAACTTCTAACCTACTTATTAAAAAACAAGTAGGGACTGTCTTTCCAGGTAGGGATTGTCTTCCCCTTCTCTCCCCCCCCCCGGCCCCAACTCCCAAAAACAAATAAAAAATAAAAACCCAATAACTATAACATGTCATCTCCACCGTCGCTTTTCAAAGCGTGGATAAGGCGATGAGCTCTTCCGCACTGTTTGAAATGATGTTGGAAACCCTAGAAGAGTTAATGTAAGGTGAATATGCGCCGTAAATATAGACATGCAAGTTCGCGTTTTTTGCCTGATGTGACACATATGTTTTACACTATAAATTTTATTTTTTAAAATTTTATTGTAGAAGTATTTTGTCGCCCAGAGTCCCTTCCCTTTAAATCTGAAAAGTAATTTTTT